TTGGGATTTTCAGCGCATTAGATTACCCTTATTTACTTTATTGGTCTGGCTGCTATGAACGTAGCCGACTAAAGACATTCTTGAACTATTAAGGTCTATGATGTTAGGAAACGCCTCATAAGATAACTAAGGACTTTTGGCCATTTTGGCTGCTGCGTTGGTGTTGATGCTTGCTAGTTTGACATGATTCATAGGTAACACATATGGATGTAAATTAGCTTTTAGACTTCATCGACCAACCAACAGCTTTTATTTTCATCATTACAAGAAGAGTTTAGAGCCTACAAATGAAGTAATTACTCTATTGACATTTCCCGTGTATTATTTATAATCCTACAAACACGTTCCATTGTAGCCCATAGAGCAGAAGGGTGGGGTTGCATCGTGACATTGTCGGGCCTGCCAATAATCAAACAACATAATATAGCCTCTCCAGCTTTCACTCCTAAAGTCCTTACTGCCATTAAAATCCAAGCTGCTCCACAAAATATAATCAATATCATCTGCATGCTATGCTATCGCTAACTCCCCTGGCTAGCTGGAGACATTATGCTCTGCTGACGCCTTTCACGCTACTATAACTCAACTTTATGGAGATGTGCTTGTGCCAGTCAATAATTTCTTTCAGAGCCAAACAAGCGAGGGTTGATTGGATTTTTATGATGAAGCCTCAACCCCTGTTTGGTTTTTATTGTCCGCAGTGTCAATGGTCAACGACAGCCTTTGTGAGCGAATCGTAAGAGCCACACCAAGGTGAATGGGGTGATCTGTGATTTTGGTTCTATGATGGGAGGATATAATAGCCAAATGATTACATGGCCTGCAGCTATCCTAATTTATATTGAATCAACAAGATGCAAGTTTCATATGCATTTGTGATTTTGCATATTTGTTCAGTTGAGAAGAAGCTGCTGCTTATTGTCCAACAGGCATAATCTAATGCAGGCATGATCAAACCCCTGGAATCCAATTGTTGACTTTTGTCACAACGTTCCAAATAAAATGTAGCTGTGTGATAGCAATAAGGACGTATGATAACCCATTTTATATTTCAGAATCTAGTCAATCCAGCTCAAATCTAGTTTTTAAAATCCAAGTTGTCGGCCCAGGTCAAGTCTAGACTTTAGTATATAAACTAAAGTGGCCCTCTTGCTAAAAATCCACTGATGTCTTGCAAACTGGTATTTTCCCAATCAATAATGTAATAATGTGTAATACCCACATACTCTTTTGGGAAAGCTGTATGTTAAACTTCATACAACAGTTATAGTAAAAGCTCAATATGGAAATCAGCCCTGCACCAAAGCAGATGACTTGCCGAAAACGACTTTTATTATTCTCAGCCATTGACACATGCAATATTAGTTTAGCCAAGAATCCACTTCCCTCACCAGCGGTACATAAAATGGCTTTGTTGCGTTCAAAGTCAGCGGGTTCATGCATATTGTTGTTTATTGTCAACCTCCATAAATAATCCAATGACGTTCGCTGTGCCTCTCTTGACCTACAGAGCGCACAATGGGAAGCCGCCAGTGTGGTCCCGTACAATACAGGCAACCCATAATGCTTTTGGGGGCTCACTCAGGACCTTTGTACACTAGTTCTGCTCTAGCTAATGAATCCATATACTGCTCTGCACTTCAATCCTGTCCAAAGTGACTTCTAGAGAGTTCCAAGGGGAAATCTGGCCTGGATAAAAGAGCTGAGTAAACAACTAAAAAGAGGGTTTTGTTTTTGTAGAACGAGCTGGATTTCCAAGAGGAAATTTAAGGCCTTGAACTGACATATTTTCCCACAGTAGCAAAGTTGGAATTATCTTATCTCCACCGTTTTAAATAAACTGTTTGAGGGTGAATATTTGAATTTGTTTGTTTAACACTTGACAGAGAAGCTGCCTGCTGAAAATGTGGGGAAAAAAATCATCCAACCACGATTACAGCTGACATAATAATCGAGCCTTGTTGGGAGTTTATAGATATTTCATATATATATATCCTTATAAACTTGCAGGGAAGCATTGGTCCAGCTTTTTCAGGAGATAAATACATAGTCATACTTTGGATTCCAGGATCCTCCGATACCTCTGTAGCTTTTATAGCCTTAAAGCAGACCTCCCCTGTTTGACTACACAGAGCTGTTTTATTAAGATTTATGCATGTTTGAGTTATTTATATTTTCATATGCTTCTGTTGTCCTCCCCCCAGTCCTGTCTACAGGCACCTCAACCCTCCACCAGGCTTTAGTTTTTTAGGCGGCCATTATGTAGCACAAGAAGACATAAGGTGAAGCTGCAACTCGTTTCTCAATCTAAAGATTTCATATGATCCACGGGGGTCATAGATCATCGTATTGTAACGTCCTGGCTCGAGGTAATGAATGAGACAGTGTTCTACTTGTTGCTTTATTACAAGATGGTTACTGTCGACCGTAACCACGCCAATACAGCTCCACAACTTAGCAGAACAGCATCCCGTTCGCAGTCCCGGGTAAATGAGAGTGTTACAGGATATCAAAACAATCTTCCCTATCCCCCCCCTAGTAGGCCCGCCCCCCCCATCCTCAGAACCAATCCTGTAAGTGCACTAAACAGTGAAGAATAACATGAAATAACAGCATTAACATAAACATAAATGCAGGGTTGCTACAATGTTATTATAGAAAACAAGAAAGCTTAACATAAACATAAAAGAATGAATCCAATTGCGTAATTTTTCTGTTTCAGGATTAAGGATACCAAGCCGATTCATTGTATCTTCAAGCACGAGATGTTTGGAAGTAGCTACTAAATAATCTAATTACATGAATCTGTAGTCCTCCCCAGTATCTCATTGTGGCCATCTTAAACATGCATGAATAAATCACTGTTTAAAACGGATAGCTGGTTTTACATAAAAAGCACCCCTTTTAACAATATGGATTATTTAATGGGTAGAGTGAGTATATTTGACTTTCAAAACATAAAGCGTCCGTGGAATGCGTGGGTCATACTGTGGCGAGTGTATTTAAGTGCACTGATGTCATGGCGTCTGCAGCTAATGCGAACCAGCTCCCGTCAAGATTCTTTCCCAGCAACATCTGGAACGCATCACTTCAATACCGGCTACTAAAAATAAGAGCAGCTCGCGATGATAACACAGCTCTCACTCCAACGCGGCAGGCCAAAACAAAGTCAGTTTTAATATTTGATGAGGTTGAAATGTTGTCATAAATCGTAGCCGTGGAGGTAATTTTGGATGCAGAAGTTTTAAGGAAACTTGGATTTGGACGCACACAAACATATAGAGACAAAATGTAAAATGCTAAAATCATGCCTCAAAATAGTCAAAACAGATAGCTGTACTTGAGTATATTAATGACCACTAGACATTCTAAACTCATTCTATGCTTAATTATTTATTTTCATATAGTCTACCGTTAGATAGAGGTGAAAACGTGAAACTAAGGCTATATCCACACGAAGACAAAACGCTTATAATTTCAGAAACTTTTTCTGTAAACACGGAGTTAGCTCAGTAAATGTGTGCGTCCATATGAATGTAGTCAATACGCCTGAAAACGCTGTGAAACTATGCCAGACCTGTTGGTGGCGCTGTGACGCAATGACGGGATCAAGCCCAAACTTCCGTGACGGGAACTGGGCATGCGCAGAATTTTGTAAACAGACAACATGGCGAGTGGGCGAGCTGGTACTACATTAGTATGGACGGACGATGAGGTTGAACTGTTGCTTCGGGTCACACTGGATTACAAAACCAACAAGCTACATTGTTGTTGTCATTATTTTCTGAGTGCGGCGCATGCGTGCTTTAACAAGAGGCGGGGCGATGACGCAAGCGTCTCAGATACATTGCGGAGAGGCAGTAACCACGGAGCGGCATATACGGAGTTTTGAAATCTTTCCACTCTGGGACCTAGTTTCAAAAATGTTCGTTTACACCCCCCCAAAACGCCGGCCTCGTATGGACGACACACTGGATTGATAAAGTATTTTTGCGTTTAGGCCTGAGCTTGACTCCGTGTGGACAGGGCCTAATATATAATTGTTTGATTGCTATGTTTCAGATAATTATGGCTTACCGGTCATTTGTGTTTTTTTACAAGCTAGTGTATCAGCCAACATTATAACAAATAAAAAGGTTTGATATGTGATGAACCGATGTGACATTTTTTTGACCGAAACAGTAACCAGTGTGAATTTTTAGATTTGAACACATCTTTTTTGCCTTATTAAAGGAGCTATACCCGTTTCTGCAAGGTTTGAATTATCGTTCTGTTCACATCAGCAGCTTTTCTAACACCTGACCGATACAGATGTGTAAAATAGAAAAGCATGATATCGTCCGCTAATATATTGCGGCCATTATTTCGTGCATCATAAGGATTGATATATCTCACTTTGTATTGAGTGTTTCACATATTAGTTTCACATTGTTAGTGGAATTTGTAATTGTAGTTCATTGTTATAAATGCACCTCTTAATTTCAAAAAGGTCCGGGTTTTGCTTTTTATTCTCAGGGTTTTTATTGTGACCCATAACCTAATCACAACGTGGGGATTAAGAGTGTATTGGTGTTAACACAATTTTAAGACAATAAAAATCAGGTGCAGGCTCATTGAATTTTTATGTGTTTTTTATCTCCCTTAATCCGATATTATTATGTATTAAAGTTCTGCATTAACAGCCTTGCTTTTTATGATGACAAAATGTGCCTTTTTTGTGACCAATCCATCATGTTCCGCCTTCAATACATTCAAAACCTCTGATATTTAGAGCGGCACTAATCATTACTTAACATATTAAATAATGACTAAATGGTAATGAGTTTGAGAGAGCATAGCTTGAATAATAGAACTTCAAAATCATTCTCATATATTAGAATGTTATTTCTGATCAACAAAATATTTCACCATATTGTTCTCCAGGAGCTGCACATTTCAAGCATTCATCCGAACACATCTATTATTTAAGAAGTTCACTAAGGACATTCTTATTTACAGCCATGCCTGGAGGCTGGGGGTTACCTAGATTCATCCTGCCCACGCCACGCACTCCTCTCCTGTCCTGGGGCATCTCCACTCCTCATGCTATGGTCAACTGAGGTCTGCTGAAGGTAGACACAATAGCTTCTCTTTGCTAGCTGGGATGATAATTAATTATAATGCATCGGTTTTATATAGCTTTTTTCAACACTTAAAGACGTTTCACATGGCATTATTCTTTCACTCTACACACACACACACCAGGCCCTGCCTGCTTAGCTTCAGCCAGCAGCTGGCGAGAAATGTGTTGTACTTAGACATGTTTCATTTCATCTAGGTGTTTTATTGTCTGTTGTCATTGAAATAACGGCTTTGAATGCTAACCCCCAAGGCTAAGTTTGCACCTCCACAAATTCAAATTTCAAAGATCATTCCTTTGCAGAAATTATTCATGACTGACATGATTAACATGGCTTTGAATCTTGCTACAAAGGCCAAAGTTGACCACAAGCAATCTCTTTTGATATGCCTTCAACTGCACCCCCCATTCTAATCATATGTTTATTTAGAATGATACGCTATGCGGTGCAGATAAGGTTGAGCGGCACAGGTGGCTATCGCTGCAACAAGCTAACGTTTTCTCGATGCATTACCATATCCCCAGTTATGGCTGCATGCATTCCTGCCTTCGGGGTAAAACACATTTATGCTTGAGCCTTGCTTTCCACATCTGCTTTGCACCTGGGTCACGCCGACAGGCCTGCGTTCATAAATCAAGCCACGGGTTAGCGATAAAGCTAGTGCCCGAAGCTAATGAAGGTGGTATGCCAACGTCATATGGGAAAATGGATGTGTGCTGGTTATCATATATTATTCTGATTAATTAGCCAGGGTTGGCTCAAAAGAAATCTCCGTAAGTTAGGGTTATTTTAGGTATGCCGGAATGTTCTTGGCAAAAAATCTGGACATTTGCTCACTTAATTTATTTTGTGGGAATAGAAAAGGACAGAAATCCCCCTTGACGTAATGTACAGTAGGAATGTAACTCAGGGCACTGAAGGCAAGACAGCTGCTTTAGAAGACCGAGGCCAGAGAATGAGAATGTGGACAGGACATGCTAAAAACAAAAGTTAAGCTAGACACTTTAGTGTAAGATTGATTTCTCTCTTCTTCTTTTTTTCTCAGTAACTTTATAATTTGGAGCTGATATTTACAAGAAATTGAATTTAAGTGAACCAGATGTAAGAAGGATCCAACTGGGTGACTTTTTGGATTACTGTTTGTTTACAATATTAAATCTAGGTATTTATTGTGATCTGGTTTATCCCTATTATGGACCCCAAAAACTTGGAACTGGTTAAAATCTGGTGGTGGTACTAGAAAGAACAAATTTCCTGGTATGATGATACCCAGGAGCCAAATTATTTTCTAAGGCGGTACTTTGCATAAGTTTACGTTTGTGAAGTTTATGAAGTATATGAAGTATGTGGACTGGAGAAGTTGAAATATGAAGTCTAGTCCAAAAACTTTGTAGTTGCTAAGAATACTCCTGTAAATTATAGCAAATTCAGTTATGAACCAGCCTCACAAATGACCCAATCTTTTATAAAATCACTTAATCTCCATCAAATTCTTTCCCGTTTTTTATGTATTTATTTTTATTTCATTTTTGTTTTTTATCCCATTTGTTGATGCACAACTTTATGGCTTTGTTTAAACATCTCTTCTTACATTCTTTCTGAGACAATGTCTGACTCTTTTCATCATCCAGGTAACAGTGACATAAAGAGGTCAGGTCAACGGTTAGCGAATTAAATGTTCTTTTCCAGCGTATATTCCCTGGCGTCCAGGCGCTGGCAGCCGCTTTGTTTTCCGTCGGGCAGCGTTACTCTCCCGCTCCTGTCATCACGCATTCCCTGTCCCAACATACCACTACACCTGGATGAAAATGGGCCCCCAGATACCCATAAAACAATCGTATGATCCCACCAACACCACACACACACAGTCCCGTTTCCTTGATATTCCCATCCGGTCTGCCAGTCTGGACACACTATTTGTTTTGATTTGAGATGGGGGGAAAATGCATTCCACAAGCCCTCCTCCCAACACTGTGTGTTTTGGCAGAAGCTTGCACAGGGCAACACAGACAAACATAGCCAGGGAGGAACGGTGGCAGTGCAGTGCAAGAGCAAATATGTCTGAAAAAAAAAGAATACAGAGATAGAGAGAATAATCAAATGATTATTCTCTTTAGGATTTAGGGTAATCCGTTCATAAAGTTGTGCAAACATTCATTGTCCATGCATATTGTGGACCACAGACGTTTACTTTTGAATGCGCCGGAAACGGCAGCAAGTCCTAAGTAGCTCTGAAACAGTTGTTGTTTTGTGCTTTACAATTGTTATTTTTCTTGCTTATTTCTACCTGAGATGTTGCTGCAGTACAGTGTTCATGGAGAGGATTTGTGGTCTGAAACAAGTGGATCAGCCAAAAATCTACTGGAGGAATGCTAACTTTTTGAACAATGCTAATGAAGCATTCACCATTTTACTTTGGACTAAAGCAGAGAAAAAGGTCCAAACCCACCGGCTAAAATTGCATTTTATTATTACTATTGTTAGCTTTTTTAAAATGATCCATTTATTTTTTGTTTGTGTGGATGTGTTTTTGCTGCTACTGGACTCCTGAATTTCTCCTACAGGGATCAATAATGTATCTATCTATCTATGCAGTGGAGTGAGCCCCTAAAATTTAGTTTGGGGTCCCTCAAGGACTAGGGCCGGTGTTGTCGAGTTGTTCTGCCTCAGCTGTTTATGATGTAATACAAACCTGCGCATGCGCGTTTTACAGAAGCCAAAGCACACCAAGATGGCGGACATAAAGTCCGCAAATTGTATAAATGTTTTTAAATACAAACAAATAAAGCTGTCCTGTAGCCAACTCAACAGCTGTTAGCTTACAACTGGTCTGTCCGGTTGATAAGGAAAATAATAAACTATATTTAAGTTGTAAGCATGGATCTATTAGCTGTCGAGTTAGCCACAGGACGCGCCATCGGCCTACGTCAGTAAAATGACGTATGCGGCAGTTCAACTCGACAGCGGGACTGCTATCGCACAGCAGTGTGGTTTCACAGGAGCAGTTGACTACTTAAACCAAACTTTACACGAAACTTGTACTCTTAAAACCCACATATCACAACACAGAACCATCGACATCTCGCCTCAAATTGCATTCAAAGTAAAATTTGTGTCTTTTATTTGTTTGTATTTAAACTTTTATACAATTTGCGGACTTTACGTCCGCCATCTTGGTTTGCTTCTGCGACCGTGCAACGCGCATGCGCAGGTTTGCATTAGATCATTAACAGCTGAGGGAGCACAACTCAGCAGCGGCACAACTCGACAGAATACCGGCGTTATGTCAGTTTGTGCCCAGCTTTTATGTCCACCAAAATGGCAGACATAAAGTCTGCCAATTGTAAGTAAAAGTGACATTTGTGTCATAATTTGTTTGTAATCCAACTTTGTATACAATTCGTATATACCATATTATACAAATATAACCCATACTGAAAATCGTGTAGATAACACAAATAGGAGTGTTAATTAACAAGGAAATCCTCTATAGTTTGGTTATCCAAATAAAAAAGATACAATAATGAATAGTCTTTAATGATAAATAAGTAAAATTAATTAATGCATGACATCACCGTATCTGTACTGTAAATTAATATGCCAATTCCCCTTTCATTTTGCATAGTTTATGCCATATGGACACTTGCCATCTTTATGCTAATTTCCTGCCCGGCATCACAAGTGCCCCTTCTGCCTAATTATTTGTGTTGTAGTTCATTGCAGTGTGTTCGTTCTGAGTTTTCCTGCTCCTTGTTGGATACTAATGAAGACGCTTGCACATAAGGGGAACACAGCACTTTGAACCAGCGGTAACAGAGGAGACGTGGAGTGACGCGCGGCTGATGTTGAGCAGATGTCCGTTAGTTGCCTGGGTTTTTTACCAGAGGAAGGACTATTTTGTTTTGATAGACACACGCTCGGTATTGTACTTTCAATGCACATGACTGCATGCATGTATATATTGTCATGAGCATAGAATACATGATTAAAAGCTCTCAAAAGTAAATTTGGCATAATTTATCTCCTTGGTAAAAACTGTCCCCATAAGGGCTCCTCCCTAAATGCAGTCACATTCGGGACTACAGATGAAAAATAGCCACCTGGCTAATTCCTGCATATTTACAGAAATGTTCTTTAAAATGCACTGTCCCTGTAAAAAAAAAAAATACACATTGCATTCAATATAATGTAATGTCAAATAAAAGTATCAAATGTCAATAAAAATGGTGGGAGAAAAACTTCAAATATCAGCTATTACTATCCAGCACATTCATTCGAGAAGCCTCTAGATTTATTCAGGTCTGGGATCGATTCAAAGGTGTGGGTGGATTGTGGTTTCATACATGTTCATATTTGATTAGTTGGTGTATTACCTCCCTGTCGGAGATTTTACTTTTGGAAGATTAGTGTCAGGATCCAAAAAGCAGCCCTGCATGAAATTACATTATACTTCTCCATTCCGTCAAATATTTGGCAGTCTTACATCCATGTCTTCCAAAGCCAGCTTCTCTGTTGGACTGTGAAACGGGTAATATCTGTTGCTTGCAGAATGTATCATGGTTTAAATGTCATAAAGGGAAAATCACTGACAAAAAGTCTTGTAACAAGCACCAGTTCTTCCCCATGACATCACTGTTTCTTTCCAACAGCAGGTTTTTATTTGAGAACACAACTATCTCCAAACATACTGTCTGTTGTAACAATGAAATGTAGACCTTTTCACTGTTCTGAGTGTTATGGAGCTCATGACCATGACCTCTAGTGATGGGTGATGCTCGGTCGAGGTCACAGAAACAAGTGGCAGAAATGACGTGTTTCCCTCCACCAGAATTGCAGAATGAATATATTTGCTCGGGTGACTGAATTTATAGACAAGGTATGAATAGCCATGGTCCTCGTTGGCAGTGGTCTCACAAGTACATGAGAAGAGCCAACCGATGTGGCTGCACTCCATGCTGACAACAATTTTAAAGACTGTGAACATTGTGACTGTGTAATCAAACATTGTCCTGAGGTAATCTGTGGTCATCTGGGCTCATCTGGAAGTTTTTAGTAAAGAAGTGTTTGGACTTTTATCCAGAGAGTCTCATTATCACTTCTTAGATTATAAGAAGTGATAATGAGACTTAGGGCGGCACGGTGGCTGAGTGGATAGCACTCTCGCCTCTCAGCAAGAAGGTCCTGGGTTCGAATCCCGGTTGGACCAGGGCCTTTCTGAGTGGAGTTTGCATGTTCTCCCCGTGTCTGCGTAGGTTTCCTCCGGGTGCTCCGGTTTCCCCTACCACTAAAAATATGTACAATAGGTCTGGCATGTGCCTCCTGTACTAGCACCCCCACCCAACAATTGTAAACCGCTTTGAGACTCCGATGTGCAGTGAAAAGGCGGTATATAAATAAAGCTTACTACTAATAAAGCTTACTATTATGTGCAACCTTTCTCTTTATGTCCTGCATGTGCTACTTTACCTAATGCTTGAGATGAAGATTAACTTGGGGAAACAACCCTCTATTGGGCCGTTGAATGCCTTTATCTTGCCATCTTACAATCTTAAATTTTGGTTACAAGTAGTCACTTATATCAGCATCTCATTTGAACCTCAAAAAGCTGAAACTAAGCAGCAGGACTCCACCCTGGCTGCCCTGTGGAAGTGATCAAATATCCCCATCACATCCCATGCACTTCACTCCACACACACATTTTGGGCTTTACCCCCTCAGAGAATTCTACTGGGGAACAGCCCTGCCACTGTCTCCTCACAGGCATGAATGGGCGGCTCTGTCAGGAACCTCCCTGCGCAGGACAGACGCAGACTTATTTCTGCATCGTGCACTGCCCAATGTTTGGAAAGATAATCTGGAGGGATTTTGGGGATGCCTGACAGGAGCGGAGTGTTGATGTTATTGGGCGAGCCGACCTGAAGGTGCTGGTGCTAGGAGAAGGACAGAAGATAGGAGAACGCTTGTGTCTTCACTGATCCGCTTTGTGACAGGGGGATGAAGAATGTCCAGGACAAGAATTTGTATGATGTCCAAATTTCAAGAACAAAAATTTTTTTTGATCAATTTGTCCTGTTCAAAAGATGCTCATTATACTTTAAGTAGTGTCAGTCTTAGAGTTGATGTAATTGGATAGAATGTAGAAATCCCTACACTGCTGCATTTAACATAAGATTATCTTTTATCGACGGTCTGGAGGCCAACCCGTTACTGATAGAAAAATCCCTCCATTATCAAACACACACTATATACGTGTATGATTTTGCTCAAATTTCAACCAACAAAACCAATTGCAAAAAACTGTATTTTTGTAAAAACTCAACACTTGCAGATTTGTTATATATTCTAAAAGGTTGTGTGGCAGCTGTGCCTCTGAGGCCTCATTTAAGCACAGTCTTTTATGATTCTGTTACATGCCGTTTTTATCCCCATGGAGTTTCATAAATTAGCCCATACAGTAACTTCTAAAATAGAAACGTCTGTCAGTGTTACCATGTTTGGTTTAATTTAATAAGCTTTTCACCTTTTGAGTTTCCTCCAAACCATAGCACTACCCAACTCAGTCAATCTAGAAGCCTGGACCTGACCACAACAGTGAGAGCCTGACCAGATTGTAATGAGATATTAGAGATCTTAATTTACTAACAATGGGATTTAAACAACTTTCTCCAGGCTAATATTTATGCCATGTCACACCAGGGCAAATGACAGATCCCACTTAGTTGATAACTGGCTAAGTTTGATCAAAACACACTTTATATTGAAGAACACAATTATGTCTGCAGTTGCAGAAAAAAGTTCATTGGATCAACGAGAATAGAAATGCTGATGACTTATAAGATGGTATTTCTCTCAAACGGCTTTGACCATTTGCCCTTGTCTCTGCCCTTGAGGCCATCACCTTCCATATTACTCTCAAAATTGTCATTTCAGTCTTCAACCCCCTAAATCACTGCGACCCAAGAAGCCGCTTATAAGAGACACAAATAACACACCAGCGAATCTCGTCATCCAGACCGCTGAGCTCACCCTGAAAGAGACATCTTCCAGAACCCACCATCCCGTATTAAAACTGACACGTATTAACCTTTCCCTGGCCCTGGCCGCGATAAGAAGTGTGTTTTCTGGGGAGAGGATATGAGCGGGAGATGGCGGGGGCGATATTATGACAGAAGCTTGTTGGGAGTTGAGCTATGGTCGTTCATACTAAATTCATTAGTCTTATCAGCATGTTTGAGGAATTTAACCAGGCCAGCCCAGATAGGGAGACAGGCTGTAATCCCACTCACTCGCACCATCATTCATTCTGATTATTACACGAGAAGCATCTAGGCAAATATTGGCAAGGGTTTTCATAATAGTTGCGTGATGTATGACATGGCTGTATCTGCGATTTGCGTGTATTGGGGTGATAATTCAAGCTGGTTGCATATCTGGTAAACTGCTTGAATATATGTCTTGTCAGGGATATTGCTGCATGGTTAGAATGTTGTCTATAAAGAGGAACAGGTCTCAACAGCATCAATTCAGTACGCTGATGGCCTTTCCATGAGTTTTCATCTTTAGCTTTGTGAATCTGTTTGGGAAAAGTCTAAAACGACAGACGACCTCTACCTCTGCGATTATTTTACTCTTTTTCTTCTTGTTTTGTCTCATGCATTGGGTTGTGGCTGATGTTAGATTCATTACATACTGGAAATAGGCTGATTTCATAATTGTTATACCCATATGAATCCATATACAGACACTTTTAATACAAACTTGGCTTTTCCCCATGCGCTCAAATGCATCACTGCCTGTTGTCTCAGTAATATCCGGTTTTCGTAGCGACGGGCTCGCTCAACCATAATTCTTTTATACCTCAATTTCCATGCACAGGTTTACAGTATATGCATTTTTATACAGCAAAATAAATTGGAGTAGGTGCAGGATTCGGTTTTCAGTAGTGGTTTATAAACGCACTCGGTGTTAGCCTTCGTATCCTTTTGTCCAGTTGATCTACACTTTGCCAAAAATGTATTTCTCATATATATCATTCTGCGCTGTCATTTTGTAGAAAACTAGCTTAACATCCATCGCAAACCCACTTAATCTTCAGCACTTCAAAATGACAACGCCATAATTTACCGTCTGTAAAATTCAACCCATCAGACATCGTGCACTCCACGGGCATCACCTCTGACTTTCACCTGGGATCTGTCATTTCATCGTGTCAACTGTCTAACCAAAAAGAAAGAAAAGACACTGCATAGATTTAGTCGGGTGGATTTTGAGGTCAAGACCTTCCATATAATTCCCGGGATACTTCTAAATTCCCAAATCCTGCTGCTTTCTGAGAAGTGCATAATCACAAAGGACGGTCTAGACCTGAGCAGCCGAAAGGTGGTGGGACTGAGTGGACCTGAGGATGACCCTTTCCAAGCAACTAGGTCAGAAGCTTTAGGTTTATTTATCTTTTCCAGTGAACTGAGAGGCGCAGATAGGAGCCAGCCGTGTCTTGGCTTCCTAATCTCAAAGAATGTGTGAAAGAGACGAGACTCACGTGGATAAATAATGCATATGGCTGATTTTCAAACCATTAATTTGGAATGCGACAGCTTTGTCTGGATGTGTTGCCAATTTATAGGCGTTTTGTGGAGTATTGACTTAAATCTAATTTAAAATGGGGCAAGATGTATAGTCATCCCCACAGTTGAATGTTGGAAAATTGAAAGAAGCTGATAAGGAGTAAAACAAACAAGATTTACAAACAAAAGAATGAGTCTAAGAGTAATGTTTAATCGACTTGCTGAATTTATTTAGTCTCTGTGTGAAATCAAAAATCTTTCAGTTTGACCTATTTTCATTTGTCGTTTACCATGTATGTTTTCCTCTTGGCAGCATCCTTGTTTACCCCGAAACCTCCGACTGCGATCTCTGAATAACCCTTGATGTTTTTGACAGAAGTTTTTCCCCATTCCCCCCTCTGTTCCATATGCGCAGAGCCAAAACGGGGGGGGTGTTGACTGGCACTGGTGAAATGTTTGTAAAGCAGGTGGAGGGGAGTGGGAAGATGCACCCTCTGGAGGGAACCAGGGAGCAAGTGTCCTTATCAAAGTCTGACACGCATGGACAAACAAGAGCCAATAATAAAGCTGAGCACCTGTAGTTTGTCACAGGGATAAACACACTGGCAGACTGCGTGGCTTTAATTGCAATTTTAAACCTTCTCACAGAATGGGAAAGTGGTTAAAGAAAAAGTGTGCCAAAATATGTATATTAAGATTTTTGCAACATTTTGCCCCTTGATGAATTCTCCAAAAGCCATTGTCAAGTACCATTACTTACTTACTGAATTGTATTTATATAAGAGGTGCACCGATCACAATCATAAAAAAATTGGACTTGCCGATACAGATCATGGCCGATCCGATCAAATATTGATATTTTTAATGATAAAGGAATAGGAATTTAAGTCATTCACTTTATCTTTCAAAACCATCAATGTACTAGAAGTATAATTAACAGGCCCTAGGGGTACACAAGATAAACCGGTTGAGAACCACAAGTATACGTTACAGAGCAATGAAATACATTAAAACAAAATGCAATGAAATACTTCACACACAAATAATTGCACTGCAGTGTTCAGCCACAATTTGACACATAAAAAAGTAATGTCTGTGTACAAATCTAGATTTTTTTAATGAACAATGTAGAAATGGGTTTGTGCAAAACATGGCAGTTTCCTGTATATGCAGCATTTCTAAACTGATATTTTGAAGGGATAGTTAAGGCAATGTTTTATCTTCAGGAATGTTAGCATCTCAGCATTTGTAGGGGTTAGTTTACTACGTTTATCCTCCAGAATAAGTTCCGCTGTGCTAAACAGCCGCTCGTTGTCTTCACTTGTACATGATGGAGTGCAGAGGGAAGCCTATACGCGGCTTTGGCCAAAGCAGCGAAGCGGCTTCTATTTTCCTTCAAATTAACAAGCGGCTGTCCGCTTCGAGGCGTAGCTGGTTCATGTAGGTAAAGCTGCATCTGCGACACTGCAGGACTGCCAGTACTACCACTACCACTCATCTTCCTCCAACATGAGTGTAGTGGTCCCGACATGGGATGTTTTTGCTTGTGGCTCAGAGTTCAGTGTGCCTGCTCTGTGTGAAACTGTCTGGGCTTGGAGTGTCAATGTGAGAATATACAGTTTGGTAAAGCTGCGGCAGGCGGACTTCAGTAAAATGTTCCCGCGATAGCATATTGAAGCGCGATGAGTTGTTTGAACCTAGTGCTTTCCACAATAGACAAGGGCTGGAGGCAGAGGGAAATAAATTCCATAACTTTTGTGCATATTTCGTTTTGTTTCTTACTGTCTTTGATGTATGGTTGTTGACGCAGTAGAGTCTCCATACAGTAACTGTAATCTGTATGAGTTGCTTGATTTCTGTTGAGTCCCGCTGTTTTATGCTAGCTAGTTTGGTAAACTCTTCATAATTTGGTGAATGACATGTATTCAAATGTCTGAGTTTTGTGGAACTCTCACTTATGTCTGCTGTCGTTGTGTCCTTGGGCAAAACCCTTAACCCCACTTTGCCTGAAGCCCCCGCTGAAATTTCAAGGCTCCTGTGGACTCGCCAACCTTAAAAAAAGGTTTCAAAGTCTTCAAAAACTCTTCCAGACTGTTTTTCTGTCCTCCAAGCTTCCCACAAAATATGTAAACAAAGTTTGGAAAATCAAATCCTTTTGAAAAATAAATTGGTTCATCTAGCTTTTTTGGACATATGGCTTCATGCTGTTGTAGCCAAAGCTCTCCTAGGGCACACTGACAGAAAGATCGGCCCATCCGACAACCACCAACCATTCATGCATACCCCAGACTCATTCTAGGAAACGTGGGTGAAGTGTCTTGCCTATGGACACAACACCAGCTTGGCACTTTACATCCGCAGCTGCCCCGCTGTGGCACCTGGTGTTCCCAGAGTTCTCTCCTCACAGCACTAACCAGGCCCTGCCCTGCTTTGCTTCAGAGATCTGACGGGATCTGGCTTTCAGATGCTGGTGGCGCCTTGTGTTTATTGATTTGAAATACAAATTTGGCTTTTGACAAATCACTTATTCACTTGGAGCTCAAAAACAGAACTAAATCCAACTATGACTACATACTGTACATAACTACAACATCTTTTATCTGGTTTGAAATGTATATCATTTACATTTTTGAGGGATATACTGTGTACTGCAATTTTCCCCTTCTTGTAACCACCTCAGCCCCTCTTGCCCTCCAAAGAGTATCTGCTTTCTATCTGCCAAAGCCGATCCTGTAATGATTATAATGATTACCGTCCTAACATGGAGCCTCCTTTGCCCCAGCCTTATGCCGTTGGGAATATTTACTGGCCACATCAAACACAGGGGATAAATGCACTTGTCATCACTCCGACCTCTCCTAATAAGAGGGGGCCGGAGTAATCCTCGGAATGCCCGGAATGCTCCGCTTGTTGTCATGTGAGGCATTTAAAAGCGTGACTGGCCCAATGTTTTGCCGCGTGCTACGGCTTTGAAAAAACTGGATTGGTTTATGGCCCGAGTGAAGCGTTCCCAGAAGGTGGGTCCAAAAAATGGCTGTGTTTTCTTTTTTTCAAGTCGAGCCAGTCTTAGCAGTTTGTTATGGTCTTTAAAATGTCCATGCTTTGTAGGGTTATTATCACCTCAAACGAAAGCTCACTAAATCTTTGCGTAGGTTAAACCATAGAGTTCAGTGTTTTTGACAGCAGGAATGTTTTGTCCATTTGAGGTTAGATTTCTACAGAATTACAATTATGTGGTTCTTTTACTCTTTTTTTTTTATGTGAATGATGCTCAATTGAATGCAAGTCTTTACTATAATTACTATGGAGTTTAAACAATGAAATATGTTGCAAAACTTTGACTTTATTGATCGAATGACTTTCAAATCAATCAACAAGGAACTAATGGTTATAAATTGCTGTTTAAATGGGCATATAAAAGTGTCTTTGTTTTTTGTCTTGACCACCTGTATGTTGAACAACATGATGCCTTCACTTTTGATCACGGTTGTGTCTGCAGGATCAATTGTTTTGTAGGTTTTGTAGGTGGTCCGTCATCAGAGAAAACATTCCAAACATTTGATCCTAGAGCATCCTAGAGACCATTTGATTAAAAGTACTAAAATAGCAACTTTTTTCACAAAAAAACATACATACACAGTTACATAATCTTCAACATTAACCACTTAGTTCCTCTTGGTTCTCATCACCCGCTCCTATTTTAATACTTTTTTGATTCTAATATTCCACCAGAGAGAGGAGCGTTGAGCCATCCTCTGTTTCGCATAAACCAATTGGGTCAGTGGGAAAATAAGTTTCAGGAAGTCAGTCGCAACACTTTGTCCAGTTACAAGTGCATAAGTTTTAAAAAGAAAGTCTTAGCCTCTTTTCATATTGTGCAAGATACGAATACATGAGTTCACCTCATGGATTCGAAAGTTGTTCTAAAGGTAAATCATCAACATTCCTGGTGCATGACAGAATACAAACCACCGCTGTGCCTAGATTTATTGAGGTGTGTTATTTTAACATGTCGTATACCACTGTGAAAACAAAATTCCAAACGAGTCTTAATTGAGTATGTTTTTCTATGCCCACCGCCATTTGAAGCTACTGTAAATGTGACTGAGTGCGTCTGGCTGGGTGATAATGGATTTCTGCTCTTCTGTTGTGGCCACACGCTGCGACACTCTGCAATCGGACACTTGGCTCAGACCTGTTATGATTGGCAAACATCCATGGGGAATACTGGCATAAACTGTGAAAATGTGTATGTGGCTCAAAAAACACCGTCCAAACACCACAAACCTCAAACAATGCTAGGAACTAATATCAACACGTTGATTCGAAAAGAAGTCATAGAGTTTGGGCTTGTAAGATTGAAAACTGCCTAAAAAAATTTAAATCCTGTATTCAATTATATTAGGTATATTTGGTAAATCACAAATTGTCAAATACATGTATGTAGTATAGACCTGTGACTAATTGAATAAAAAGGTTATGGACAACCATCCATGATCTGAAATATGCTTTTTATGTTGCTTTTTATTCTATTTAAATGTTTTTTGTATTTTTTTTTTAACATGCATGTATATTTTATTGGGTTTGAAATGTTTTTTGTTGACATTTTACACCTAGTTTGTAACTAGGTGTGTAGCTAATACTGACACATTTACAGTAGGGCTGGGTGATATGGCAAAAAAATTAAATCTCAATTTTATTTCCTGATTGGACGATTTTGATTTTAAATCGATTTTTTACCCGAAGACATACTTTGCCCTTAAAAATATGTTTTGATATTCCCGCTCAATATTCAAGTATTGCAAGTATAATTCATGTGGTGCTAGAACTCTCACAATATTCCTTCATTCAAATTCACGATTTTCAAATTTTTCACAAATTCGATTTTTTTCAAAAGCCGATTAATTGCCTAAATTCAAAAAACAGGAAGAAAAAAATCACAGGAAGTGAAGCCGAATCAGAAGCACAGGCTTCTCGACCTATCACGGCCGAGCATGAACCGCAAAACATTCTGGAAAATGGGCATGAAAACGAAAACAACCGCACAATACGTTACGTCCGTGGATCTAAAGTTGTCATGTTTCAATACCGTGTCCTTGCGAGGAAAAGCATGTATGGCGCGGCCGGGGCAGTGGGTACAGAGAGTTCATGAATGCGGCAAAAGCAAGAGATTCACTTTTTCCTCTTGAACCACTCGCACGGAGCCATCACAGGGACATAAGACACTAGAGAACAGCCAAAACAGGAGCTAAACCAGGGTTAAACCTGGACTGAACCAGGACTAAACCAGGATTAAGCCAGGACGGACAATGGGGGGACACTTTGCTTGTGAACATATTTATGCCTCCAGGCTAAGTTCTCTTTCAAAAAAAGAATCAATAATTATCAATGTCGAATTATATGAATCACTTATATTGTGAAATAGTTTTCAGCCATATTGCCCAGCCCTAGGTTGACAACCGAAATTGTAAAACTGTTTTGACTGATGTCAGGCTGTTCTGATCTTTAAAAATGAGGCATGACATTTCCATATTGATTCACATTTGACAGAGCTGAAGTTGACTGAATGACAAATGTGTATTTTCGCACCAGTTCTGAACTTTATAAAACTTGAGGTACGACATGTGTAAATTGGTGAAGCTTAAGTTGGCTGGATGGCACTATGAACTTGTTTTTTTATCTCAAGGCAAGATGGAGGGCCACACGAAACGATACATAGGCTTGCAATTGGTCCACAGGCCTTAGTTTGGACATGCCTGATGAAAGCTTATTACTTGGCCACCTACTTTTTGATATAAATCTATCATTTAATTGCAAGATTCTACAGATTTCTTTGTGTTTGTGTTCTCAAGATATTTAGCGTTCAGCATTATTGCAGAATGTTGTACTGTAGTAGTAGTAGGCTTGATTAGATGCAGTCACTAAACCTTGCTGACGCCGATCATAAGTAGGAGCCCTTTCCGACACCCTCTTGTGCCCAGTCTGTGTCCTTGACCGCTCCCTCTGACCGACAGCCGTGCGACGCTGAGTCTGGGCTCTAAGTGTCCAACTGCTGTAGTAGCCATCAGCACCTCCTCACCCTCCATATCCATACTACACATACTGTATAAGCATCACCCACCACCCAAAAGAGCAGACCAAACAAAGTGAAAGTGGTCGGCCATGCAGGGGTGTCCTATGTAGCCACTCTATTATGGACGGCAGAAAACATATGCTTGAGTTTTCACATTTAAATTGCTTTCTCGTGTAATTTGACAACGACTATGACTTTTTTTTCAAGCAGGGAAAAACGACGACACAGAGATTGTACTAATATTATCATAAACTTTCACGTCCATCACAAACACGTTCACGTCTGTCTAAGTCTAAGTTCTTAGACTTAGACAGACTGTTTTGATCCACAAGGGAATTTGCAGTAGCTTGCATAGTATTTCACAATAAAAAACTTCCATAAAACAGTGACCTTATCATCAGCTTCTTTTACTGTACTGTCTTTCGGGCTTCCCACGGGGCCGAGACTGAAAACACCACAGACATAAGCTTTAAACAGGGACTCTTCCTTGACTAATGAATCTGACGCACTCCCGATAGACACTGACACGTCCTGCCATGGCCCACGCTTATCTCGGTCGGACAGATGCTCTCCATTGATCGTGCTGTCGGAGATCTTCGGTAATTGAAAAACACGCATTCCCACGCAGAGTTCAAGAGGCCACCCGTCACTGCTCACAAGAAGGTCACCGCGCGAACGACTAGCAACGGCTGCCTTTTACCCACACGCCATGCATTATAGATTAGACCAAATGAAGTCTGCAGAATCAAACCAGTGCCAGATTTATAATTGGATGCCGTGGAAATTAAAATGAGAAGAATAAGAGATGCGCCGTAGTTGAAAGGAATTTTGAAACCCCTGTGGTGCCAATTGAGAAACGGGTCAGAAATGGGCCAGTGGGACATTATGTATCAAAGCGGTGGCATACTTAACAAGCTATGGCAAGGCTAAACATTTATGGTGTGATACAAAGCAGATTTTTCTGTGATCAATGAAGAATATAAAACAAACAAAAAATTGAATTGGCTTGCAACATGTTTTTCTGTTTATATCCAATATAATTCATTCTAGAAGAAAGAGTGGCGATATCTTTTATCTTCTAATGAGCTTGTTACTTTTTAAAAATAATTTTACAGCAAGTTACAGATAATACCAATCATACATTGCAAAAACCTTGATCACACCCAGAGTAAAACTAGAATGAATACACTTTCGAAACATTTTCATGCCTCATATTTATTAGAGGAAGTCCTTTTTGGACTTGTTAAATTTGTTAATTCAGTATTTACTCAAACAAATTGAATATTGTTTAATCTCCTTAGACTGTATTGTAGGAGTGGAAAAGTGAGCAACGGTTACTGAGCCAGAGGAGTTTCAATGTAAGTCAATAAGAACCAGAGCAGCTGGAACTAAAATTTGTCAATGAGCACCATGGAAAAATTAGGATTTGATTGATTGACCCCCCCCTATCGTTTATTAGGTCCAGTCCACTGTACAAGCCCAGCTCTGAAAAAAGTATTACAGATTTTTTACGATGTTTTACAAATCCTTGTAAATCTTTTTTTTTTCTTTCTAAACTGTGATCATAATCCCACATGTTGGGGACTACTAAAACCTGTTCACAATTCCAGACCTTTTCTCTTTGTCCATTTCCCCGGTAGCTCCTGTCTGCTCCTCACAGCACTAAAGGTAGACGACCTTAGCAGGGCTCAGGCATCTGTTTTGGCCATTTCTCGGTCCCTCTTAGCTCACAGAGTCCACACAGGAGCAGTAGCACGCTCTGTAAATGTAGGCTAGTCCCCTGTGGCATTACAGAGCTGCTGTCTGCGGGCCAATGCTCCGATCCACTCCAGAGTTACACGTGAAACGTAAAACAAACCCATTTATACCTCCTTTAAAACGATGGTTCAGTAGTGGAAATGAAAGTCCAAGCCAAAGCGACTAGCCGACAACTTGAGAACGGGGGAGGAAAGTAACCGCTGGATTGTACGTGAAGTATAAACATATACTCAAATATCCCAATATTTAAAAATGTGGTGGTGTCGTGGGTTAAGCTGTCTGCGAGGAACATGTCATTCTAATTTTTTCAGAGAGAGAATAAGAAAGCTAAAGTAGCACTTAAAGATTTTATAGCATAGTTATCATATTTTGTCCCATGAGTATCCCAAATCTGTCCGTTTTTTTCTCATCTTAATTCAACTGGTTAATTTTGCTGCCAAAGGTACTATTTGTTTTCATTTATTGTGTCCATAGAACAAAGGTTTGCAGAGTCAGTAAGTGTTGTTCTGAAGATGTAAAGTTAAAAATGACAGCATGGCGTTGTTAAAAAGTGTGAGATGATGTGCCTCCATTCAGGTGTGTTTTATGTGACTGTTCATCATCAGTCATAACAAACTTTTGGCCCATTCATTGTTGGGATTCTTCCATGTGCAATAGTCCCCAAGAAATACAATCTGCCAAGAATTTCCCGAGACAGTTATGCTCGTAACAGAATTCTTCTTTCAACTAAATAAGTACCACACTGCAATCTTTTCATGTCCCATCATGTAGAGAATTCTAGTTATCCATGGCTTGATTTCATCTTAATAATCTAGTTATTACGTGTTTTAGACTGGGAAAGAGAATAGATAGAATAGTTATAGAATTACTTTCTGGTTGAAAGACATTTCTGGCGATAACATGAGGTAGAACAATATATGTACAACAGTTGCTAAAATATTGTTTAATTTAACCAATGGCAAATAATTCTTACTTGAAATGAGATTGAAGATGATTTTCTGGTGCTTTTTGATATTTTATGTATTTTCTTATTTATACTTTTTTTCATTTTGTTTGCGGCATTGACTTGGAATCTGTAACACTTAGATGTTTTGAGGAAATGTTTTTCTAACATTTGAAGCCAGCATGTAATTAGAAATAGTTAAAAGAGAATAAAAAGATCATTGGCCTATAGTGTATACCTACATTTATAAGCCTTTGTTGCATTTGGTTCAGTTTTGAGTAACTAAACCTTTGTTAAAATACAAATCCACATAATCCACAGATACACATTTTCTACTTTCATACTATCAGCCCTGGGCCAACCCACATCTTTTTAAATTAGCCCCTGACTTAGGTTTAGACTGGGGGTGTCAAACTCTATCAACTAAATCAAAGTAAACCATAAAACACAATACGTCAAGGTATTTGCTCTTACTGTTTTCCCAACTCCTCATTAATCCCTTTGTCTCCATCAGGAATACATGGACGCCAACAAATGCATCGATGAGCTGCTGAGACAACTGGAGGAGGAGCGCCGCAATGTCCGACGGTAAGCAAACATCCCCCGAGCAGATGTTTTATCCCCTCTGAATATCAACAGATGTCTCCAGTCTACTTCCCGCGACAATGTTCCGTTTAGACAAGCTTTGGCCGATTTGCTTGTTCGTCCGTGCGGTCAAAAGCACTGAAGAGGTTACGGAGGAGCTAATGACATTGCCCTGCCCATGCACCTATCATCTAGCCCCAAGAAAGGACAGGGCAATTCTTAAACTTCAAGCCTGAATAGGGGCCGGTTGAAGTAATTTTCCCCCTCAGTGAGTAGTAAAGGGCCAAAGGGTCAAAGAGTGGGTGGCTGGCTTGGATGGATGACCAATGACCACCTATACTTTTGCAGACGACTTTACAAAAGAGTGCGACGGAATGACCCTCCTAGCCCAAGTTGTCTGCTCCCTTCTTTAGGACGTAGGGGACATCTAAGGTGACACCCCAAGTGACCTATAAGGACATACAGACACGCTAAAGTGCTCCCATGTGACTTCGGAGCCGTGAACTTGCACATAGATCAAGATAAAGTAGGGTATCTTTGTCATACCACTGTCCATTTTTGAAGTATTGGCAGACCAACCACAGCGTTTGGGAACAATTTTGAGCCGAAACTAGTCTTGGTAATTGAAATTGGTTTGTCAAAATGGTTGGAAAATACTATTTGTCTTGTCAGGCTTAACAATGGAGCCTTTGCTATCCTGTGGTTTGCTGTGCATTGAAATTTAGCTAACGGCAAAGTTCAAGGTCCAGACGGTCATTTATTCAGCTAGCAAGAATTTTCATAGTGGTGCTATATTTTTTCTTAATGTTTAAGTACTTTTCAATAATATGTATTTGGATTCATGAATTGATTAAATCCAAAAGAAAGCATTGTCTATAGTTTCCCGTTTCCATTGGTACTGTATGGTTGCAAACGTAATAGCTTGTTGACTCATGTTTTGCTGAGTGCTGATGCCCTAAGGCCGAAAACCTGAGCTTCCATGATGCTCTACGACGTCCAGGTGCATCATGGCCTCTCAACATTTTTTGTAAAAGTTAAGTTCATTTTAATGGGGTTGTTTATAAGGATATGTAGTTATATTTCTATATGATTTTCATATTTGAATACAATCTTGCAATCTCTTGCACTTTGATGCAAATGTACTTCGACAGGTTCCCCTTCAAGAAAGGGACCAATGTGTTAACTCCTGTAATTATAATATAATATGACGTAATAAAACTCTTGTTAAAGCCATTTTTCTCATGTATTTGAACAAAACATATTTTAGCCGTAAGTAAGTGCAGTACTTGCTGGACTATAATCAGCTACTTTTTAATTTATGTTAAATGTGTGGAACAGTTTAAGTATCTCGGTATTTGGATGGATTCAAGCCTCTCCTTTAAAACCCACATTTAAAGGACCATGAACAAACCAAATTATAGGAAAAGACTTCGCCTGTCGACAACAGCCTCTGTAGATTCATCCTACGCTGCCCATGGTATCAACCATTATCTTAGTCTTCACGACCTGCAAGTGATGATCCCACAGGTTTTTTCATTGTTAAATGCATTGTTAATTTTTAAAACCTGTTACGAGAACGAGTACCTTAATTTGAGTTCTTGCTGATGCCAAATACTGATATGAGTACTGCACGTGGACTGTAAACATTACTGTATTGTGTTGTCCCTTGGACTTTTCGACAATAAGAAAATGCTTTAACAATTAAACATTTTAGCATTTTTTGAACAGTCAACAAAAAGAGCCACTGACATATTCCACAAATAGTACAAAGAAATAGCTCATGTGCTAGCATGGTGGTGAGTGTGAGTATCGGTGCATCCCTAGCATTTAACGTAATTACCCTTAATATCTATATACCCTAATATTACCTTTTAGTTCCACCTACAATCTCCACCACACAACACCTTTCTCCTCATGGATTTTCCACAGAGCAATAAGGAAATGGAGGAAACAGGGTTTTCAATAGAAACCCCAGACTTCTCTTCTGTTGTTTAAGAATATTGAGTTAGATCACCTTTAAAATGTCCCAAGATTCATCTCATGGGGTTATTCCTCTAAATACACTCTAAATGACTCCATCAAGTACTAGTAGTATGCTTTTTGTGAAAATAGATAGGATTTACCAGAGTGCTTTGATCATCACGAGTCAACAGTGCGTTCAAACATCTTGTCATTAAATGATGTTGTGAGATAAAACAGTCATCCATTGGCTTTATTTAGTTCCATCAGCGGTTGGTGAAGTGTTACATTACAACATGAAAACCTGGGATAAAAAATGCTTTCTTTTCAAATTCAGCTGGTCCGGTTTATATACGCGTAATGGCCCAGCAAG